GTGTGTGAAGGAGGGGGCAAGGACGGGGATTCAACGTGTCGCGTGAGAGGGGGACATAAAGGTAGGAGGGATGGAAGGAGGTGGGGGGAGGGAGAAGGAGGGAGGGAAGGAAGGAGGTGGGGGGAGGGAGAAGGAGGGAGGGAAGGAAGGAGGGGCGGAGAGGGGGAGGGAATGCTGTGACATGGGGAAATACTGTTTAAATATAAGCTGGTGGTGTGGTGTTGAAGTCAGCTCAGGCTCCAGGCTGCTCCATCACTGTCATTCCAGCGAAGATATTCTCGGGCAAAGTACTGGCTGTCAGTTTTGTTTATTAGAACAGTACAGCACAGGAACAGGCCCATCAGCTCCCTATTTCTGTGCCGACTATGATGCCATTCTAAATTAATCCTATCTGCCTGCACATAGTCCATATCCCTCTATTCTGTGCCTGTTTAAATGCCTTTTACATGTCGCAATTATATCTGCTTCCAACCCCTCCCCTGGCAGCACATTCCAAGCACCTACTACCGTCGGTGTTTAAAAAAAATACTTAGCTCACACATCTCCTTTAAACTTTCACCTTCTCACCTTAAACCTATGCCCCCTAGTGTAATCCAATAACCTGAATTAAGCAAAATAATGACAGTAAAATGAGAATGTGATGTTTTTTGTGTGTATTATGGACTCTCTTAATTCAGCAAATTTGACTTCAAATGAATTGTATAATTTTGTGGAACATAGGACAACTCGATCTAGCTAACTGATGAAACTGGAGTAATTTTCAAATGAGTTTGCATAAACTTTTTTAAAAAGTCTTTCTAATACTTATGGAGCAATTAGTCTGCAGTCCCTTGGGGGACTTGCTGTCGATATGGGGAGAAAGGATCACAGTTTCACCTGTTTCTGTGCTTGTGTGTGATTGTAGCCACGTTCTGAAATGTAACGTTAACCCCCGAGGCAAATACTCTGACACAGCTCCTTACAGGCCCAGGCGGGAGCCATCTATGGGTTATGAAGAAAGATAACGCTGTGTACTCGGCTACTGCAATGTTTCCATGTTGCAGATGACCGTTTGTTAGTATTTCACATTTTTAACCTATTTGTGTGTCAGCTATACTTCAATGGGCAGCACTTGACTGGGAATCGCAAGGTTCTGTGTTTGATTCTCAAACCAGGGTCTGGTCTGATGCTACAGTCCTGAGGGAATGCTGCTCTGTTGGAGGTGCCATCTTAAAGACAAAACATTAGCTGGACGCTCACTCAGGTGGATGTAAATGATCCTATGGCACTGTGTTGTTGAGGAGTAGGTCAGTTCCCCCGGCGACCTGGCCACCATTTGTTTATCCATCAATTAGCCTCACAGGAACAGATCATCAGCTCATGTTCACATTGCTATTCATAGGAGCTAGCTCTGCCTTTCCTGTCTTACTTCCAAAAATACTTCATTGGCTGTAAATTGCTGAATTGTGTCATGATTGTGACAGGCACCAAATAATTACAAGTTTCTGTTGGTACTTGCAAAAGACATTTGGATTTCAGTTTGTGTTTTAAAAGCAGCAGTGGTGGGTAAGTTGAGGTGATTCTGAAGGACAGGATTTACGTACATTTTGAGAAGCAAGGATTGATTAGGGATAGTCAGCATGGTTTTGTGCAGGGGAAATTGTGTCTCTCAAACTTGATTGATGTTTTAATGAAGTTACCAAAAAGATTGATGAGGGGAGAGCGGTGGACATTGTTTACTTGGACTTTAGTAAAGCCTTTGACAAAGTTCCATATAGTAGACTAATTAGTAAAGTTAGATCACATGGGATTTAGGGTGAGCTTGCCAATCAGATACAAAATTGGCTTAACGGTAGGAGACAGAATGATGGTGGAGGATTGTTTTTCACACTGGAGGACTGTGATCAACAGTGTTCTATAGGGATCAGTTCTAGGTCCACTTTGGATGAGAATGTAGGAGGCATTCAAAACTCTTCAGGCAACACCAAGGTTGGTGGAATAGTGGACAGTGAAGAAGGTTATCTAAGATTACAAAGGGATCTTGATCAATTGTGTCAATGGGCTGAGGAATGGCAGATGGAGTTTAATTTGGATAAATATGAGGTATTGCATTTTGGTAATACAAACAAGAACAGGACTTATACGATTAATGGTAGGCCCTGGGTAGTGTTGTAGAACAGAGACCTAGGGATTCAGGTACGTAATTCTCTGAAATTTGCATCACAGGTAGAAAAAGCTTTTAGCATGCTTGTCTTCATTGCTTAGACCATTGAGTATAGGAGTTGAGATGTCATGTTGAGATTGTACAGTACGTTGATGAGGCCTCTTATGGTGTACTGTGTGCAGTTCTGGTCACCCTGTAATAGGAAGGATATTATTAAATTGGAGAGAGTTCAGAAAAGATTAACCAGAATGTTGCCAGGAGTGGAGGCTTTGGGATATAAAATTAGATTGGAAAAACTAGGGAGGAACACAGCAGGCCAGACGGCATCATAGGAGCAGGAATGTTGACGTTTCGGGTCGGGGCCTTTCTTGGAAAAATTAGGACTTTTTTCACTGGAGCGTAGGAGTTTGAGGAGTTACCTTATAGAAGTTTATAAAATCATGAGGGATATAGATAAGGTGAGTGGCAGGTGTCTGAATCCCTAAGGTGTCGGAGTTCAAAACTAAGGGGCATGCTTTTAAGCTGAGAGGCGAAAGATTTAAAATGTGCATGAGGGACAACTTGTTTACGCGGAGAGTGGTTCGTGTGTGGAATGAACTTCCAGAGGAAGTGATAGACACAGATACAGTTACAACATTTAAAATACATTTGGATAAGTGAACAAGGAAGGTTTGGAGGGACATGGGCCAAGTGCAGGCAGGTGGGTCTAGTTTAGTTTGGGAATATGGTCTGCTAGGACCGAAGGGTCCGTTTCCATGCTGTATGACTATGACTCTATAATTTGCAAAGGAAGTTCTGATATCTGGACAATGCCTGGAAAAGGCATTGCAGTGTTGAGGGGCCAGTGACCTACAGTCCTGATCCTGTCTCTTCTCTTTGCAACAGGCAGTTAAATGACCCTGTAACTCACTGCCTGTGGAAACAGAAACGATTGATTTTAGAGAGAGATAGATGGTCCCTCAATGGAAATAAAGAGGCAGAGCTATTGGAGAAAGGCGAGAGGGACAAATAGGTTTGACATAAATTAAGAAAGATGGACTGAATGGCCTCCTCCTGTTCTGTGTATAACCTGTTGCCTTGATTTAAAAAGTAGGAAAAGACAAAAGATTTATGTTTGATACAATTCCTTTATAACCTAAGGATCTCAAATAATTTTGCAGCCAATGAAGGCATCTTTGAACTGTTGTAAGAAATACAGCAGTCAATCCACATGCAATAAGATCCTACAAAGCAGATCAACTGTTGTTAGTAGTATTGGCTGGGATATTAATGTTAGTCAGGATATTGGCAAGAACTCAGCTACTTGTAGCACTGCAAGAAATTTACCAAAGATCGTCAGACAGCACCTTCCAAACCCACGACCACTTCGATCTAGAAGGACAAGGGCAGCAGATACATGGGAACACCACCCCCCTGCAAGTTCCCCTCCAAGCCACTCACCACCTGACTTGGAAATATATCACCACTCCTTCAGTGTCTCTGGGTCAAAATCCTGGAATTCCCTCCCTAAGGGCATTGTGGGTCACCCTATGGCACATGGACTGCAGCTGTTCAAGAAGGCAGCTCACCCCCACCTTCTCAAGGGACAGCTAGGGATGGGCACTAAATGCTGGGCCCGGCCCGTGATGCCCACATCATGCGAGTAAATAATAGTAAAATAGATCTTATACATCCATTTGAATGAGCATTGGGATCTCAGTTTTCCATCCCATCCAGAGGCTGTAGCTGGGTGTGCAACACTCCCTCTGGCACTGGTCGTACTGTGGGTTATTTTCCTGATGATTGAGAGGAATCTGACAGAATGGATTTGTCCTACTTTTTGTGTTTCGGATACACCTGGGCAGTTTTCCGCAATGCCAGGTTATACTGGAACAGCTCAACTTGGGGTGGCGAGTGCTGGAGCACAGGTCCTCAGTATAATTGTCTTTCTTGATATCACGTGCAGTGAATCGAATTGGCTGAAGACTAGCCTCTGCGGTGCTGGAGACCACTGGAGGAGGCTGGGATGAAACATCAACTTGGCATTTCTGGCTTAAAATAGTTCCAGAGATTTTTACACTGATGTTCTGGGGTCCTCCATCATTGAGGATGATGATTATAAAACCACCATCTCTCATTAATTGCCCCTATCATTTATATTTGTATGTAGCAGATCTAGCGTGCAGTTTTATTGGTTATAGGATTGCTAGCACTGTCCATATCATCCTGCTGTACCATTTAGCATGTGCTGTGTTATAGTTCCACTCCTGTGGAGTGGATTTTTAACATGTGATTCGGGGAATGTGGGCTTTAGCTGTATTGGGAACACGTATAT